GAAACAACCATAACAGAAAAAAAAAAAAAAAAAAAAAAAAAAAAAGAAAGCAGAACTCAAAAAGTCAAGGTGAAAAAAATAAAATAAGGAGAAGGAATAAAAGATAGTGGGAGAAGCAGCAATTAAATCACAGAAATTGCCAGTTTTTTCTCCTCCATTTTAATGAGCTCAGCACTTAAAATGTATATTTAATGTATTAATTCAGCAAAATCCATCACAAAACTGTGATTACAACAGATTTTATAGTCATTGGACAGTATATGCCCCCTTGTGGTGAATTTAATTATAAACTCTATACTTGCAAAAATTAAAAAAGGCTGGTGGGCTCCATATTCCCTTATTCAAAACTCATTTAGTAAACTAATTCTGATTTTAATTCACTTATACTTGATTTTTTTGCATTTCTCAGACTAGATTCCAAATAGCCTGACTCATTGTCATAAGTCACAGCTTATACACTCCATACCCTATACCGGATTACCCCCAAAAGAATGCCCTCTCCTAACTCTGACCAACAGGCCTGCACCTGCTGGAAGTTTCCAGGTAGGACACTAAGGAAACCAGATGGCTTCTCGTCTCATCCCTGGCTTTCCGCTGGTTGGGGCAAAGTTTAGCCATTAATTTCAGGAAATCAAGGCCATATTCATAGCTAAGGAAATAAACTGTGTAATATAGTATCTCCCGTTGTTTTAGGAATCCTTTTTTTCTCTTACCATCATACCTGAACATATTGGGTTGTCAGGAACGTCACAACACATTTTTGCATAAAAACAGAAAAATATGTCATGGCTTTCCTGATGACCTAATATTAACTAAGAGTTATTATCTGTTTGTTAAATTACTCTAAGTTTTTATACCCTGCTTTATCACATCATGAACACAACTCAGATCGAATGAAATATTGAAAGTGTTGCTATAAGTAATGAATAAAAGCAAAGATCTCTTAATTTACCATCTTACATATTTTCCTTCCTTATTCCCAGTTTAGACCACACTAAACATATATGCATGTGTGAACATAGCATTAAAATAAGACTGAGCATTGCTTGTATTCCAACTGTAGGTAAGTTGGCACTTCCAAAATCATGACACTTCTCAACTTTTCTTCTCAATGGCATCTATATTTTTTTTTAAGTCACTTCTAAAACCAGGAGAGAAACCAACACAAACCTAGTTTTGAGAAGTAGACAACAGGTTATAAGCCCCTATGGTACTGGGAGAGTGAGAATGTTTGGTGTTTAGGACAGCTACCTACCTGGAGCCTTCCTCTACTCAGTTGAACTGGTTTTCCTTCTTCAGCTACAAGGGTTTTGATGTGCAGAACCTGAGTGTGACGTTGGTGACCTTCCGAACACACTTGAACATTGACTCCCACTTCCAAGTAAGTTTCTTTAACTTTTACTTTCAGGTTGAATATGTCAAAGCTGCCACTGCCATCGTGCCTATAAATTACATGACCTTGCTTCAAGTCATTCTGGGAAAATGAATGGTATACTGAATTGTTGACTAGGATTCTGCCATGCTTTGGGGGCTGCACAATGTAGAATTCAATCTCATGGTCTGTCCTGACATCTTGGTTTGTGGTGACACTCAGGTTGGCTGTTGTGAGGCTGCTGTCTTTTTCTCTGTGTACAAGCATCCCAGTGTTGTTTACTATCTGGATGTAAGGGTCTGACACACTGACCTCAAGAAATGTGGATGTGTAATGGACACCATCTGTCACAAATAGTACAAAGCGGGCCGAGTCTCCACCCTGATGCCTGAAGAGCACACGCCCTTCTTGCAGGTCTTCTTGCTTGAACTGGTAGAGTTTCTGAGTGGGGTCACTGACTCGGACCAAATCTCCATTTGGAATGCCCCGCCTGATGTAGAGCAACTGCCCGTCATCAAAATCTAAGTCGGGGTCATGGTAGCAGAGATCAGCCAGAGTCAGTAAGCGCTGGCCATTCCACACAACATGAAAGACCTTATCTACCACACGTACTGGCTTCTCATCATTCTTTAACCCAACAGATATAGAAACTTTTATTTCTGTAGACAAATTATTCATGTCATGATCCCTGGCCACAGCCTCTTGGCCTGGGCCTCTGGTGGAAGCCACAACATGGAATTCATCACACTCAGTCTCAGAGTCATCATGAACATACATCAGCCGTTCACCCACTATGTCTTGATCAGTGAATGTAGTGATGTTGTCATTACTTTCCAGAGAATCCGAAAGGCTAATCAGTTTTAGTTTCCCGTGTTGAGGACTCTTGGTGATCTTATACTGAAATAGCTGATTGTCCACAGTTCGAACAAATAATTCCAATTTTGTAATTAATTTCCCTTCTCCTTCTTTTACAAATAATTCTCTATTGGTTAAAATAACGTGTGTCTTAACTGCCTTGAAGTTTATTCTGAAAGTATAATCTTCTGATTCTATGTGTTTTGCAACAATCAAAAAACGAAAATTGTCTTGTGAGTCTTCCCTTGGCCTCTCCTGAGGTTCATAACTTATCTTACCATCTGTAATGTTTTTTTGACTGAAGATTGAGTTCGTTTTTAGAACCTTATTGCCCAGTAGCAATTTTCCTTTCCTTGGTATAGTTAGTAACTTAAAATGTAGTTCCCTCTCAGCTACTTCCACACTCTCAGTTGCAGCCTGTAAATGATCACAATTCAATACTTGTTTGTTTATTTGACTGATCTCTAGAGGAACATTTTTCAGAAGTGTGAACTTCAGCCAATGCACCATAACAGGAAACATCAACTCTTCACTGATCTTTCCTCCTATGTTAACTTTAAATTTAAAGTAATCAGTAACATTTTCTAGCTGCAATTCTTTGAATGTACTACAGTACCGGACCCAGCTCTGATCAATGGAATGCTGAGAAAAGTTACTAACTTGGTTCCATTCCCCAGTTGACCCCTGCTGCTGAATCTGGCCAAACTGAGGTGGATGAGTGATGTCATAGTGGGTCTCCATGTCACATCGTTCACCATTAACCTCCACCGACAGGTTACTCTGTGAAATCAGAACAGTGCCACCCTGCGAAACAACCACACCAGTTCGATTGGCTACCTCAAAGTCCCAAGGAATAGCCATGACCCGTAACACCACTGTATTGCTCACCAGTTTTCCATCACTTGCTCTCAGGACAATCCGAGAGTTTCGATGACCCCTGTGCACATAGAAAATTTTATCATCGCTTAAGTCCTCATGTGTAAAACTATTAATGGCTCTCCCAGGGTCATTTGAATTTTCTAAAAACCCAGCATCTGAATTGAAGTTGCCAAGAACTGAAAAACTAAGACTTAAAGAATCTGTGTCAGGGTCTGACACATGTATTATATTTGGAGTCAGTTGTTTCTTAGTGTTCTCAAACAGGAGAAGCAAGTTTCCTTCTGGGAGCTTCAGGTAGGGAGGATCATTCACTGGACTGACAATAATGTTAAACACATGTGGAACATGTCCTTGGAGATACAATGGCATTTCCTTCTTGCTATTAGAAGAGACCAAAAATGTGAAATAGTCCATAGCTTCTTCTGAACCATCATGGACATACCAAACTTTGCCTTGCCATAAATCTAACATAGTAAAGGCCTTCTTCCTTTCTCGCTTGGGTGCATCATCTAATAGAAGGTACCCATGAATAGGCATTTTCTCTACTTTAAATAATACTTGAGAATAGTGAATATCCAGATCCTTAAATTCCACATTCACCTTTATATGCCTTGGTTCCAGTAAAGCTCGTCCACCTTCTTGGACCTTCAAGTTATTCAAAACCAAGAAATATCTTCTCTCATCTTGAAAGACCGGCTTGATGGCCTCAGGGACAGCAGTAGAAAAGGAAACTTCTGACCCAAGCAGGTTTTCCTTTGTTGTTATGGAAGTATTTGTGTTATTGATACTCTCGTCTTTGCACCCGGCAGAAATATCTTTGGAAACAATGGCATCCCTTAGTGCTCTCTTTTCTGAGTTGGTTTCTAAGTTTCTTAAGCACCCTTTGAAAGAAATTCCTCCAGCAGATTTCCTAGGCACAGAAGCAAACTCTAACCTCTTTACTTCTTCCTGCATTTTGTTATCAAGACCTCCCACAAAGAGAGGGCCTGCAGATACAAAAGGTTTTCTTTGCAAAGGCAGGGAAGTCCTTACTCTTTGTCCATCTACCATTAGGTCCAGATACCTTTCTGTTAATTTGAGTTGAATAATGTGCCACTTGTTATCACTAACAAAGCTGAAAGAGGACAACTTAGTTTTATTATTACCTCTTCCTACGTGAGCCTTCAACAGACCTTCATCTACTTCCAAAGCAACAAAATCTCCTTCTTGGCCTGACTGAAATAAAAGCAAGGCTTGTGGAGTTCCAGTCTGCAAACCAAACTCTAATAGTGCCTTCCCTTGGGCCTTCCATTCTGAAAAAGTGACATAGGATCTGGAGCTAAAGAAATTAATGACTTCATCCTCCCCTGCAAAAAACTCATCACTGCATCCCAGTGACACCTCATAAACCTTCTTAAAACCAGGATAAGATCTAAGGGACATAAGGATCTCCCTCTGGTTAAATATCACATCTTCCATACATCCACGGAAATTGAGGAGTTCTCCATTTAGGGAAGGGACATTGAGTCCCGCATGGCCTCCTATGTAGATTCCATGAAAGCTTAAAAGATGCCTCCCACCAGCCATGTGGCTAGTTGCCTTATAATACTTATCCACAACCAAAGAAATATTATCCTTAACATAGTAAAATTCCACCAAATGCCAAACTAAGTCATCCACACGAAGTCTTGGGTCAGAAAGAAGCACTTGTTCACCTGCACCCAAATTCACTCTCACCTGAAAGAGAAAGAATTACAGTTAATGAATCTCACTTCATTTCTCATCTCAATCTTATTGGAAACATTGGATCGTTCACAAAATAAATAAGAGAGAGAAAGAGAAAAAGAGAAATTTGGGCATGGTAACTCTTCCCACACTTACATATTAAAGTCAGAAAACTTGGGAATCAGAATATTTAAGACAAAGTCTTTCTAGTTCCCTGCAGCGGGAAGACAAAGGAAGCTGAGATTCAGACACAGGAATTAATCAACGGAGTAGTCAAGCTACAAGTAAAGTTAAAGTCCTAACTAAGGTGTCCTTTCCTGTAAGAGACACTGGTAAAATTGGAGAAGATCCCAGCCTACACAAATTACCACATATATAGCTATCCCATTTTCTTTCTCTCTCACTGTTTTACTCTATAGTAATGGAATACTTACATATTTAAAGATTTTTTTTAAAAAAATCATACCCGTAAGGTTCCTGATAGAAGTTCTACTATATAATAGTCATTTTCCCCAGATGCAAGAAAAAGTAATCCCTGTGGCTTGCTGGTTTGAAATTTTAATTGAAGAGATAACTCAGAGGAAACTTCTATGTTGTTGAGCTCCACATAGCTTTCACCATAAAAAGATGCTAGAAAAAAAATTAAAAAGAAGTATAAGTTAGTAAATTTATTATACAATGACTCTTCGTTTTATATTGTCATCCCACTTCTGGGACTGGCTCTCCTGAAGAAAGCTGCCTTGCCCACACTGATTCCCGGGTGGTCCACAGATCTGCCGTGGGTGTATAAAAGCACATTGATCTCTTATCCCAAATCAGGATGACTCTGAGGGATCATTCCTTTGTCAGAACTCATAGGAGTGGTTGCCCAGGCTTTTACTGAGACTGAGTTGCAGCTTGCCTTCTTCTTCTATCCAAGACTGCTTCTTTCTCTTCCACAGGAATTGATCCTAAGAGCTCTCTCAAATAAACATCCCACAAATTCTGTCTCAGACAGCTTCCCCAGGAGCCCAACTTGTAATAACTGGTGCTATGGTCTGAGAAAAACAGACACTGGGATGCAATTTAAAGTTGAATCACCCACTACCCAAGTGCACCAAAACCAGTGTTAGATGGACCACAGAGAGCTCTGTTGAAATTTCACTGGTGGTGATTGGATACGGTGTAGAGCAGAAGGGAATACATTAGCCCAGCTGTAAAATATCAAGCAATGAAAAACATAGGGCAAACAGTAACTCTGCGGACAATGGAACTGGGTACCGATTTCTAGGCTTGAACGAAGCTCTGGGAAAAGATAAGGGAAAGTTGGGAGGGATTAGTTGACAATTGCAACCAAATGTGAAAGCCAGAAGGGCTCCCAGGAGCATACAAAGTCTTTCTAGTTCCCTGCAGCGGGAAGACAAAGGAAGCTGAGATTCAGACACAGGAATTAATCAACGGAGTAGTCAAGCTACAAGTAAAGTTAAAGTCCTAACTAAGGCGTCCTTTCCTGTAAGAGACACTGGAAAGTAGTCATCTGCCTCCACCCATAAGAAGTCGAAGGCTCTGTGAGGTCACCGTTGCTGCCATGCCCAAGAATAAAGGTAAAGGAGGTAAAAACAGGTGCAGGGGTAAGAATGAGAATGAATCATAAAAAAGAGAGAGTTGGTGTTCTCTACTGGACAAATCTAGGCAATGTGTTTAGTTGTTGTGAAGAGGTAAAGTTGTATCAGAGAAAAACTGAGAAAAAAGGTTTGGATAAATTCTTCAGACATTATATTGGTTGGTATGCAAGAATATCAGGATAACAAAGCAGATATAACTTTTTTGAGAGATTTTTGCTATACAGCACATGCGCTCACTGGAGAGACAGAGAGACAGGAGCAAGAAATCAGCCCCCTTGCCTGGGAGGATGGCTGCTGCAATCCCTTCTCTTCTATGCTCCTCTTGAAATTTTGGGCACACATGCACACATATGCCCAGCATGAGTTTTTAAGCCACCGAGTCCAAGACTCGAACCACATTCGACTATGTGAGAGTTGAGCGATGTAACCATTACACCATCTGCTGGTCCCAAGCAGATGTAATCTTAAAGTCCAAGCAGATGAGACTAGAAGTCTCAAGGCACATGGCAAGCTTGCAGAACATGCTAAGATCAATGAAACGGATACATTTAGTCCTGAAGATGATCATAAAATCCAGTTTGATGATATTGGAGGTGATGATAAAGCATTGATGATGTCAACCTATTCAACTCAGTGTTTCACATTCCAAGTTTTCTGATGATTGTTACACATTTTCAATTTTGGTGATCACCTATTAAGACTTTATTTGGCATGAGTGTAGTTTAATTTGCTTGAAATTATTTACTGTATTTTTTTAAGCTGATGATGCCAAATTCTCTTAAGTGAAATGTTAGCACTTTATTATTTTGAGGTAATAGAACTTTGGTGTAAAAACAATCATCATAGCCACATTTAAAAGAAAAAAACTTATCTTCACATCTAGGAAAACGGATGTTTTGAATATATAGCTTGCCTTATAATTAAAATAGATTATAATAAGCTCTAGTTTCAACTATCTGTTTACTCAAGAAAATCTTTCTGTGTATTTTGTTATTTAAATATTTTCTTGAAATTTTATTTAAAAATTACAGGAATGTAGAAAGCAGCATTTGGAGACACAAACAAATAAGGCTAAGTGGAAATAATTGACAGTGTTTTTACTTGCCGTAGAAAATTGCTCGATTTGATGGAAAGATACATGAGTCATTTTTAATACGCAAAATAGGTTATGTTAAAATATGTCATCTTATTTTCAAAAGTCATGCATTGTAAGCCACAGTTTAGGGCCTAATGAGCAATTAAATTCCAATGTAAACCTTTCTTAAATTGTCTCTGTACTGGGGTAAGGGAAGAGAACCACAATTTAATAAAAAGATGATTTCTATTTTCTGAATGGAAGATTCATAGTAAGGAAATGTAATAAAGTGTTATGATAATAATAATAATAATAATAAAATCTTAACTAAGATCATCTTACTCTGACACAGCCAAGGTCCTGTGTGAGAAAGAATGGGGCCCTAAAATATGGAATGGGAGCATCTGGAGTGATGTATTCAAACTGAGTCCCTAGCTCCTCTAGACCTGCAAAGTGGCCCACTCTCCTATTAAGACCAAATCCTCACCTGAAGAAGCCTCTCTCCATAAAACAACATGCAACCTCTGAAGATGTGACCCCCATCTTTCTTCCTAGTCATTAGAGTAAAAATAAGAGTTAATTGGCTATATAGCCTCCCTTTAGAGGTGGTGAAGGAAAATCCTCCAGATTGATAGAACATTGAATAATACACCTAATTGTTATTTCTCTGGAAAAAGAAGTAACCTCACAGATAGTGGCAAAAGGACCAACCAGATAATCAGAAGCCTAGCATAAGAAATATTGAAGGGACAAGGTAGGTCTTGGATAAATACAAGAACATAAAATGGGAGGATCTTCTGATTGCATGTTAATGCCCACCAGAAAACATTCAGTACAATATGCACTAAACAACCAGGCAGACAAAATGACCAGTTGACATCTGCCAGCCTCTGTCATCTGCCACCCTGTGTTGGCACAATGGGTGCATAATGAAGTAGCCATAGTGAAGCAGCAGGGATGAGGTCTATATATGTACCCAATCAAATGGGCTACCTTTTACCAGAGCTTTCCTAGACATAGCTGCTGCTGAATGTCCCACATTTCTCCAACAGAAATCAACAATGAGTCCCCAGTGTGTCACCAACTCTAGAGGAGACCTATTGTCTACCTGGTGTCAAATTCACTGCAATGAAACCCTTCCTCTTCAGAGTGGCCAGTGGTTCATTTTGATAAAAATTGACTCGCATTCTAGGTCTTTACCTCTATTTCCTGGAAGACTTCAGCTAGCACCACCATCTGAGGGATTACGGGCTATGTGACCCATCAACATAGGGCATCAAATAACATCACATGAGTCCAAGAGACTTACCTACTCCAAAGGAGGTGTGGGAATGGATCTTCCTGTTGGATCTACTGGTCCTATCACACACAACACCACTAAAGCTATTGGCTTTATAACCTGATAAAGGTACAATTAAATCACCATCTCAGAGGCAATACCCAATACTTACTCGAGATGGGGTTCCATCCTCCAGCATATAATATACACTTTCAATTAAAAATCTTTACTGTGTCTCCAGGAGGTATAACACAAGGAGCTTTCAGAAAGTTCACAGAAAATGCATATTACAAAAAAAACTGGGATTTCAAAAAAACTTTGTTGTACCAAAATAAACTTATACTTGGATTCCATTTTCCCATACACTTTTTGAAATACTATTTTATTTGGGTCTGAGAATCAAAGAGGCTAGGCCAGGAATGGCCTTATTTACTATCTCTTTTAGTAACCCACTTGAGGAATCTGTATTCCTATCCCCATAAATCTAGGTGTCAATGTTTTTGGTTTCCAGAGTGGAATGTGTCCCTCAGGGACCAGCAAGTTTTCCTCTATATCATCAGTTCTTCCTGGACATTTGGTCTCCTCATATCAAGAATTAGCCGGCAAGAAAGTATGTCCCTAATTTTCCAGGGTAATACTGACCCTGAATCATCAGGAAGAGACAGGACTACTGCTAGATGATGGGGACACAAGGACTACCCATGCGATCCCTGACATGCCTCTTGTTACTTCCTTGGCAGCAAATAAGTCACCCCAGCCTCAAAAGAGCAGGAGCTTAGACCTCTTGGGAATGAAAATCTGATTCACTTAATCAGGAAGCCACTGAGACCAGCAGAGATGCCAGTCAACTGTAAGAAGGTCTATAATGGATAAGGATCATAAAGAGTATCATTCAGCCTTTGTTTCCAGAATCTACATAAGGAAGTGAACCCAAGAGATTCAAGGGCCAGACTGCAGTAGACTCTGAAATACCACTCTGAACCCCTTTAAGGAATAAAGGACTTTGTACTCCAGCTGCTATGAATGCTTCTGGTGTCATTATTATTATTATTATTATTATTATTATTTTAGAGAGAGAGATTTTTGCTATAAAGCAAGTGTGCTCACTAGAGAGACAGAGAGAGTCAGAGAGATAGAAAGCAAGAAATCATCCTCTGTGGGATAGTCACACTGCAATCCCTTCTCCTCCATTTCTCCTTTCAGGATTCTGAGCATGTACACACAAGCACCCAGCGTGTTTTAAGCTACCAGATCCGGGACTCAAACCACAGTCGACTACATGGGAATCCAGTGATGTAACCATTACACCATCTGTTGGTCCCTGCCCTGCTTCTGGTAACTTCAAAACTCCGAAGTCCAGCTGAAGCTTCCACTGAGACCACAATGCGGCTTGATTTCTCTCTTTCGTCTCAATTCAAATTCCTCCGCTTCTGTTCCTTTCCTTTCCCTCCTCAGATGTTGACCCCAAAACACTCCCTAGTAAAGCTCTTGCATGGTTGCCTTCATCTCAGTGTCTGCTTTTGAGGACTCCAACCTGCAATGTCTGCCTCTCCTCTCTGCTTGTACAACACTCTGTATCCCAGCACTGACCATTGTCGCATAAAAATCACTCATTTATGCATCTGTCTTTTGTGCGAGTCTATGAATTTCCTAAGATGAGGAACCATATCTT